CGATTACCGATACTCAACCGGTTGTACGGGTCAACCGATTAAGAATTTACTCAACCGGTTACCCGAAATTTATTCAAATCGGGTCGGTTAACCGATTATAGCCCAACCGGTTCAAATCACTAAATGTAACTCAATCAAAACGAACACATATTTTTTACAAAAATCGCTTATTTCAAAAATTTGAATAAGAAATCGTCTTTAAAACCTTAGCAAAAGGTTTTCATGAGCCATTTTACTACATAATTCACCTAAATATAATTTCCTACCTTAAAATAACTGAACTTTAAAGCATTGCCTAGTTTTTTTTTTTTTTTGATAGTAATCTCGATGCGAAGTATAATTTGCCCAAAAAATCACATAATCACAATTGGCGCCTGTTGATTGGTCAATTTTTAATCATTAGAGCGGTTTTATTTTTCATACGTTAAAACCGGTTAATATATTAAAAAATTAATGATTAGCTATTTCTTATATTGCCCACCTTTTTTAGAATTATCCGGTGGCCTGATGACCTACGTACTAGTATGTAATCTGAGCATTTTATCATACGTACGATACTTTATCAGATATATAACTAATAAGTAGTAAGTTTAATATATTTATCGTTATCGTTATCGTTATATAATAACGGTAAATAGAGATGAGTCAGCAAATCATTTTTTTTTAAATGAATTCTACAAACTTGTTATTAAATAACGATGTTTTTTGAGTTATTGTTAGGCCTTTCTTTAATTAAAAGTTCAATTTTTATATGCATATCGATATGCAAAATTTGCCTGTTTAACTATACGTATTTAAAAATAGCAAATAATTATAAAGTTTTTAATGGTTTATTTGCTACGTATTTAAATTTTTTTTTTGAAAAATATATTAAAAGAGGTGACTATATGAAGATATGACTAACTGAATTATCTTATAACGATAGTATTTGAGCTTAAATTGAAATATGTACTGTATTTTAAAAGTACATATGGGGATGCTTATAGTAAAAACAGGCTTAGGGATTATATTTTTTATATTTTATATACTGTAGATATATATAGACTTTATTTTGAGAGAAAAATTTAAAGATTCCAAAGAAATTAGAGAAGATTAACGAATAGAAAGTTTCTTTACTCTTCGGCGTTACATGACATTTGAGCAAAATTTGTTCTTCGCTAACAACTACAAAAGAGTAGAAGCTACTACACATTATCAGGGTTGTTATCAGTTATACAATCGAGTACTAAATTTTGATCACTACACTTACATAATATTTACTTGATATGGTTTGTTTTTGTTGCAATGGCCCCAATAACGATAATGCAATAAACATTTTAAAAAGGTGGACATTGTATAACCTTTAACTATTAAATAGATCGCGAGAAACGGCAATTTTGTAAAATTTATATAAAAAACAATATGTTTGGCTGCATTGTAGCAGGAAGACTGGTTAGTAAAACGAAAAAGTTTTAATAGAATTCATAATAATAATAATGTAGTCTAAGAATTAGCAAATTCGACTATAATTCCGCGACCGAATTTCTCATGACAATGACGAATTTTTGTGCAAGCTACCTAAATAGATTCTTTTAACTCACTATTTTATAATTTTTCACAGATTCAAACTAACCTTCAACAAGTAGACCTTAATAAATATGTATTCGAAATTCCCGACGCTGGAACCATAAATCACATTGTAGTATTTTTACTTGGTACAGTTCCTTTTGAGCCTGGCTACGCTGCTACTGTGCATTTTTTATGGCCAGGAGTCGAACATGGCTGGAAATTGTTGGGCATGTAGGTTTTCGAAACCATAATATAGCATTATATATTTTAAAATATTTATAACGGTCATCATCAATTTAAGGCTTTCCAACGAAAAGCCAAGCGCGATTTTCCGTCTTCGTGGGTCTGTCATTCCCGGAACGACAAATGCCTTTACATCATCAAATGCATTCTCCTTTGGTTCAACGAAATTGTTAAATTATAATACAGACGATATGTCTATGGACGTTAATGAATTATCATCTTCTAATACTACTTCTGTAACAGCAACGTTAGGTATTTCTATCGAACCAATTACCATGGTAGAATCCCAAATTGCAACGCTTCCTCAGACGTCTAACCAACAACAAACGAGTAGTTTTGGTGGTATAACCCCAGAACTTATCACTCAAATAACACAAAACACTCTTCGGAATCTTTATAATTATGTTACATCATTCGCCACATCATCGACTCCTTTTGGTTCGCAAATAATTGGAACTGGCAATACGTTTATATCAGCAAAGGTGTTCCAGGATTGGTATGATACTTTCACGCGCAAAGTCAAGGTTGATCCAAACATGGTGTTGAAAGATGATAGCAATAGTATGAGTTGAACAATGTAATTTAAAAAAGTAAACATATATAGTTATTATAACAGCATAATCAATCGTCTGCCCACTGTTCAAAGGTAATTTATATAAAATAAGCTGTAAGTGTTTTAATATACGTTCTCTTGTTTTATTAATAACCGTTTAATCTAACTTGTTTGTTAAAATAAATATAACTTATTATTCACGTAATGAAAATAAATATATTCAGCAATCTTATCATATTTTATCGATTTCATTTTCACATCCTTCCTTCCTCGCAATAACATACCAATTATCTTTATCGTAATCCGTCTTAACTATTTGGGCAATTCCGGTACTTTCAATAAGTTCATCTAGCTCTCCTTTTTTAAATAAGTGATAATATCTGAAATCAAAATGAATGTAAATGACATAGATAATGTATGGCACGTGAAATGTTATGCATACCATTTTTTTAAAAGTTAATCATATTAAAAGTCATGAATATATTTACCGATTATAAGTTACTTTCTTTTTGTCTTGATCATTCTTATCTGTTGGGATAACCCAAGGAACGAATACGTCCTGTATTTCTTTATCAAATTTACGACGTGCCTCGTTGCCTTGTTCTAAAGCCCAAACATATACAAGAACATATGATCCTTGTCTTACGATTCGGAAAAGTTCCTAATTCACATATAACTTATTTTAATTATAGTTAACTTTACAATTTCTGAGCTTAGATTTAACAAACCTTAATTGCTGCAAGCCTTCTTTCAAATGTTGTAAAATGGTGAATCACAGCGATTGATATCGCAAAATCCTATACATGTGTTTGATTAGGTTGCATTTAAGAATTAAAGAATTATTTATGTTTAGTATAGGACTAAACAATCTCGTTTTGTAAAAAAAAAAAAAGGATACAAAACATTCATTTCGATATGGTAAACTTAACGCATCGCAAACTATACCTTCGTGCTTTTTAGAAACACTTATTTCAATTAAATTAGAACTTCTATAAGAATAAAAAGATGGTACAATATAATTAAAATAATGCTACCTTTTTAATTCTAAAGCAGTTATTTAAAAATTAATACCGATCCAATCCAATCATATATACATCTTTATTAATTCCCAAATATTTCCCATTCCCACATCCTATATCTGCACCTATGCTACCTACATCCAAATTTTTAAGAAATTCTTCAACTACAGGCCATGGCTTATAATAAAAATAAAAAATAATTAGATATTTTTCAAAGGTATAAATTTGGTCAAGTTTAAAATCACAAACCTTATATCTAGTTTGACTAAAATGTGGTGCTATCGCTTGATAAACATCATGAACAAATTTTTGCTCTTTTTTATCTTCAGTTAGGCTAGCATTATCGTTGTCTGTAAATGCTTTTATTGGTTTGTTTGACATTTTTTTTTTTTTTAAGCTGGATTTTCAACCTGCTTTATACAAATATTATAATCATGTGATGGTGAGATAATTGAAATACTTCTGTACTTAGTATAACTTTTATCACGTGAATTGTTTAAATCCTATTAAAGTTAACGTTGCATTACTCAAATCATGTCTGAGCGTTGGTGTAACAGCCGATAAGCTAGAATTCAGCTGCCGATCAATCAAACGATCAAAAAGTGGCTAAGTGGCTAAATAAAAAATAACTTTCAGAATCTTGAACAGGAAAAATTTAAATGGATCCACTTCAAGAGGTTAGTTTTGTGTTCCTATATTTTTAATGATTTTACTTTAGAGTTATATACATATTTTTTCTCACTTTAGACTGTCAAAGAAATTCGTTGGAATGTTCTTGAAGGCTTATCTAAAGTTGCTCGATTTTCTCGTGATACTGCTGGTATGAAACAACGTTTTAACCTTGATCAATAAGCTTGACAACATTAATAATTAATGTTTAATGTTACTTTCATATTATAGCAACTATTTTAGAACATCCGTACGCGCGTCCTATTCTCCCACACCTTCCTCCAGTTGTCAATGATTTTGTTCAACCAGAGCAAAATCGTTCTTATTATGAATACGATGCAGGCAGGGTATATCTCGCCAAATGGGCTTCAAGTATTGCTGATCAAGCTGAAGAGGCCAGCAGAGCAGAACGTTCAGAGGGGTATGATGAAGGTTTATCTGAGCGTCGGAGAAGGCGGTGGTCCGATAGTGAACCAAAAAGATGGGATGAAGAGACGGAGGTGGGAGCTTTTGAAGTTTTAAATGTATGTAATTCTTTGATGAAAGTTCCGAGTAATATTATACAAAGCTTTTTAATATTTTAGAAAACATTATTAATTAATTTTTTATAGGATGACATAACATTACCTCCATTACATGCAATACGAACTGATCCTATTAATGCAGAAAAATGGTTTTCATTCTTTGACACAGAAGGGAGACTCAAGGTCGAATTAAATGAAGTACGGGAGGCAGTGTTTCGCGGAGTATGTTTTTATAAGACATGTAACAAATTTATATATATATTTATATTTAAAAGAAGCTAATGATTTATCTATTAGGGTGTCGAAAATGATATTCGTATTGAAGTGTGGAAATTTTTTTTGGGAATATATCCATGGGATTCTAGCCGAGTAGAAAGGGAAAATTTATTAGAGGCAAAGGCGTGAGTACATATTTCCTGGACATTTATTGGTGCAGTCGTTACTGAAACTTACTTTTAATAGCTCTAAATAGGCAACAATATTGGGCATTAAAACGAGAATGGTGGGATTCACCTGAAGTTCTAAACAGTGATGACTTTAAAGAACAAAAGATTCGAATAGGTTTATAATATTTGTTTAATTTCGGCCATGATTATGTTCTAAACGCATATAAACATTTATAGAAAAAGATGTCATCCGAACTGATCGTACCATGGAATTTTTCGCCGTAGAAGATATGCCGCATCCTGATCCTTTAATTTCTGCGTCTTCAAAAACAACAAACAAAAAACTTGAGTCAATGAAAGATATTTTAATGACATATCATTTTTATAATAAGGACCTTGGTTAGTTGAATTTCTTTCCTTAATGAGTTAACTAAAGTAAACCACAGCAATATGTATTAAGGAGATACCGAATATTATAACAGGATTCTGATTAGTGATACTATAATATATTTGCAGGATATGTACAAGGAATGAGTGATTTACTGGCACCCGTATTTATTGTCATGGAAGAGGAAGTCCCAGCATTTTGGGCATTCGTAGGATTTATGGAGCGTATGGTAGACTATAATTATTCTATAACTTATTGTTTAGTTGAAACTTGTGAAAGCTTAATTTTAATTTTAATTTTTTATTAGAAATATAATTTCTACCGTGATCAAAGTGGAATGAGACGCCAACTCCTTACACTTGAACATTTAATTAAATTCATGGACCCTCCATTATATAAACATCTTAGTGAGTCTTTATATTACCTTTAAAAATATTATTATTGTTATCATCTATTTCAATGCCATCCTTTTTTTTTTTTCTTTTTTTTTTTTTTTCTAATATTTTCTCATAGAAAACACTGAATCATTAAATCTATTTTTCTGTTTTCGGTGGATCTTGATATGGTTCAAGCGCGAGTTCAACTGGGATAAAGTTTTATATATATGGGAAGTCCTATGGTCCGATTATCTGTGCACGAAATTTCATTTATTCGTCGCATTAGCTATTCTAGATAAGCATCGGATGGTAATAATCGAATATTTAAAACAATTCGACGAAATTTTAAAAGTATGTTATTCGGTAACTATTAAAATTAAACATTTGGTATCAAAAGTATTAAAAATTTCATTATTTTTTAGTACGTAAATGATTTGTCAATGACAATACCCGTAGATGAAACTCTACTACGAGCCGAAACGCTTTTTCATCAATTTCAACGAAAGGTTGAGATAATTGATCGAAAACGACAAAGTGTGGAGCAGGACAATCAAAATACAAATGGATCTTTACGAAGAAGAGTTGGTGAGTCTGTGGTACAAAATGGCGCTACCGACGAAGGATCTAGTTCAGATACTGTTGCGGCGGTTGATAAATTACCAGTCATAAGTGATTTGTTAAGGGATTTACTTGTTGAATAAGGGTGTTTTGCGTTAATGATAAATATTTTAGACATTTTTTATTATGCTTTTTAATTTCTTGGAGAAGTAATAAAGAATATCCATTTATATACATATGGGCTGCCATCATTAGAAATCAGAAAGATTTATTAGAGAAATTTGCTTTATTTCTATTGATAGTATTATTTATATAGTTGACACTAAGTTAAAAATTAAATATTTTCCTTTTGTTTGATATTCTAATGATCTTCCGAAATGATTAGTACTGCATTTTCAATATCGATATAGAGATTTTAAAAAATTTCTAAATTTAGAACTACAAAATATAATAAAAGATATCGAGCTCTAAGAAGGAATAGGGTTAGTTGCGCACAGCAGATCTACCAAAATTCCCAAAACCGGCTTAGCTTTACCACCCTAAGTCAAGAAAAAAATTCAAAAAATCATATAGTACATATAAACTGCCTTCTGCGCATTAATAGAAAGTTTTTCTCGCGAAATTTTTTAGGTGGTGCTAAAATTATTGCTTAATGTCAGCCTAGCGCAGATGAATTCCGACCCGGAATTTTGGTCGATTTGATGAATTTACTAATCAATATATACTTTCTTATATGGTACAGAAAAAAAAAATTATTGTTGCGGCATCCCGAAAAGTATACTAGATTAGTAATAAATCTTTTAAAAGCCAATTCATCTATTATGTGCTGCCCAGATATAATACAGATATAATAATACTCGAGCAGGTACGATGATATGTTGTGTTCTACAGAATATCACAAAAGTCACATAATTTTGTGATAATCACAAAATTCATGTTATTCCGCCACAAAATGTCACAAAATGCAATATTCTTCTTTAGATATAGATATGCACAATAAAACACATTTTTTTTCAAGTATTATCGCTCTTTTCAAATCAGTGCTATTATCGGGATTTTTTTTGATTTTTTTCTTTGTTTGAGTTACTAATTATTACATTCACGGTGAATATAATAATTAATAACAAAGAAAAAAAAATCAAAAAAATCCTAATGATTGTGCTAATTCGAAATAATTGAATCGTTTGTATAAGAATTTCTAAAGTATTCTTTCAACTTCTTGGCTATATTCTTCCTAGTTTTCTCTTGTTGCTTTATGGTATTGGTATATTCTTCTTGTATCTTTTTGTCCTTTCTTATTTTTCTGTTTATTCTTTTTGAAAATACTTAAACCATCTAGTTGGAACCATATCATTCTGTGATACTGTCTGTGATTGTTTTCATTTCATCTATATTGCTATTCAAGATAAATACTTTCATCTCTTGTATTGATCAAATATGATCTATTCTGGTCAAAGTTTTATTATTCAACTAAGAATATTTGATAAATTTTAGGTTGTAATAATAAAAGACTTTTATGTGATTAGTGTTTTTAAGCTATCTAGTAATTTTTTTACTACTATTTATATTTTTTTTTTCTTCACTGCTCATATCTAGTCTTTCATTTAATACTGTGTTGAAATTTTTTAGAATTGTATAGTATGTATTTTTCTTTTTTTTTTTTTTATTATTAAGGTGGCTTCCTTTGCTGATTAGATTTTATTAATTTGTTATTACGGAGCTACCACAAGAGTAGACTCCTAGGGTTTTACAGTTATATGATGAGTGTACAATAAGCTACACATACAACTTTAGTCATTGTCTAATTTAAGTAGTTCGCCATACAAATGATTGACCATCTGTTGGTTCTACACATATTGCTATACCTGCAACCTGTCTGTGAGTTACCTATTTAAACACTCTGATTATTAACCCTTCATCTCATCCCAAACCAACGTCACCACTATGATCGACCGCTTAAGCCAGCCAGTTCACCTATGGATCCATTTACCGCACAGCTTAGGTCCTCTTAGGATGCGTATGCCTAATATATTGTGAGCTACAAAGCTCTAGTTAACCTCAGAAGCATACCTACTAGAGCGGTCTATGCTCATTTCACAGATTCACCTAGCTAAGACCCTTGTAGATGTTCATGTGACCCCAGTTCCTACTGTAGCTCTCCACCAGTATCGTTTACAGATCTCGCTAAGACCTATCACAAGCTAGATCCTTCTAATCTAGTTAGCTGCCAAGCCAAGTTAGTGTTACTGTAACATATAGTGATCACTACTACAATACAGACTTATACACACCTAACCCAATTAAAGTCTTTGAGCATTATGTCCTTCTGGATCAAGTGTTAGCCAGTATAACTGTCGAAAGCCATACTACTTCATCCACTCAGAGTTTCTACTATGCAGGTCCCTGTCTGTAGATTTTATCAAGATTTATTCATGTAACATTATATCTCTCTAAACGTTGTGTCATACTTCCAATATTCAGATAATATTGGTGCAATGTGATTTACAAGATTACAACTTCAGAAACATACAGGGTTTACCATAAGTTGGGTACAAAGGTTTGGGTAATTATTCAAATTCATTGACAGTAGGATTTGAACCTCAAACCTCTTGCATGGCGGTCTGGCAACCTAACCACTACACTAAGATCACCAGACCCTAGTATGTATTTTTCTTATTTTTGATAATTTTTTCTATTAATATCTTATGTACTTTTCTTATTACCTCTTCATTTTTGAGTGATAAATATATTATCCATACTTGCAAAATCACTTTTCTGAAGAAGAACTTTGCTTTAAACAAGTATGAGCTAAATCTTGTACATACTCCTATATTTTCTATTCAACTTTTATCTACTAACAAACTAATACCTGATCCTTTATATTTGTTTTTTTTAAACTTAAGCGATCTTACCCTTCATTTTATTAGGTGAATATCTTATAGACATTTAGACAAATACAAAAAGAAGAAAAAAAATTCTAATTTAAGGTATGCCTGCCTTGTTGCAATTCCAAATTCACTCAGCTGCTCAGATGGTACCCAAGTGCGATCTGCTGCAGCAGCATAATTTTCTTCCTGAAACTAGATGCATAACAAACATGCCTGCCTAGTCCCGATCAAAAGAAGACTACTACCAGCCTGTATTAAGACCGCCCTAGCTAGACTATCCTATTCTTAATTCTAAATACTACTCTAAAAAGAAAAATAGAATATAATCTAACTAACGCGTGAAAAAAATAAAAATTGTATAAGATCTGAGTAGCACGATCTATACTAAATATCTAGATTATAAAAAAACCTGCCACAGGTTAAAACAAACTAAACTAGATGTATAAAACAAAATAAAGAGAAAAAAGAAAAAAGAAAAAGAAAAAACAAGAAGATGAGGTAGTATACTATACTGCTCCTAGTATAGCTCAGATAAAAATTGTATATAGCTA